AGAATTGAAACGATCACTTTGAAGATATTTAGAATACGCCACAAAACTGTTTGCTCGTCAAGAACGGTGCAATTTGAGAAGGTTGAAGGATGGAATTGTTCACAGTATGGAAATTCCACAGCAGAAATAGACCCTTAGAAGCGAGCGTAAGTCAATAGGTTCGCGTATTCATCAGAAAAGCAAAAGGATGCCGTTCGTATTGATAATGCAAGTATCTATCCTCCTCGAACAGAGAAAGATTAGTCCAGTAAGAATTCGAATCAGTTATGGGTTACCTAACTAGTCTAAAAGTTATAATCCACATTAAGTCACCGCCCAGAATAACAAAAGATTACCTCTTTTTCTCCCTTCTTTCCGTCCTCTTTTTTCCCTCGTCCTCTTTTTCCAGCGTCCAAAGTTGAAAGAGATTCTATCTGCGATTCTGTACGGTCTCCCTCGTCACTAAGTTCTCGAATTTGACTCTAAAAAACGCTTGATGCTAATAACTCCGGACACGTGAGCTACGTACTGTGGCGAAAACCGATATTACCAAATGGAATATTGAGCAAATATAGCAAACTGAGGTACATACCTGTAACCATTCGATCGTATCTACCTTTTCCTTTTCCTTCGGATCCAACTTCTCTTCCGCACTCAAGCCCTAAAGGTAAAGGGACTCAGTGAAAGCTGAACCTGGAAAAAATAATCTGGCGATAGTCAACCAAGGGAGATTACCTGTTTGCTATGGGGTTTTGTCTTGTTCTCCCGCTCGATGTCCTTAAACTGTTCCATTCGCTGTTCGATAATCTTGCGGTAATGGGTCAACTTGTCTTTGTCCTGGAACTTCGACTTAGCTGAGTTACTTAGGGTAGAAAGAAAGAGATAAACGTCAAAAAAGGATAGAAACCTTTATCTCCGAGCAGTTCTGCCACCCTTTCACTTGATCTCTCAACCGTTGTAATTTTTTAATCTCCTTTTTCAAATCATCCTGCAACAAGTGAACTCCTCAAATAGGGACCAATGTATGAAAAACCGTAATGAAACCTGATATTTCTCCCGTTGGTTATCACTATTTGCCTCGTGCATTTTCACCATGGTCTCTTCAAACAGTTCTACACCCTCATCGATCTGGAAAATTGATTCGAATGAAGAAAGGAAGCACTTCACCAACAAGAATCATGCACACAATTACAAGCCCAGAGAGATGATCAACTATTTACTGGCGTATGAGGCGCACCCGCGCATGGTGCGGCTTATACACCTTCACCTTAAAGCGCATTTTCAGGGATTGTCTATGGAGTGATCAATTTCGAATAATGTGACTCAAATGCAATTGAAAGTATAGAGTATGCAAAAAAATACTAAAAGAAGCTGTTGCTGGGGTGTTTCGTGCGTTGTGGCGACTATGCCAATCAAGAGCGCGTTCATACTTTGGCCAGCGTTTCGGGCGTACGGCGAAGTTTCGTGCTTTCGGTGCAGTCGAAAACGCTGAAAACGCAGCGTATGCTCAGAACACCCATGATCCTAGTCGCTTAATACGCCGTAAGCTCAAACCGCTCAACGCTGACGCAAAGTATGAACGAAGTCTAGGGGGTCTTATAAGTCAGAAAATAAGTTAACTAAAGGCTTGCACTCAGAATATCTTATACTCACCTTTTTGAAGCATTTATCAATCTCGGCAAGGAGCTTTCGCTTCTCCGCCATGATGACCTGTTCTTTAACCGTGGACTGGCCCACCAAAGAATATAATGCATGCAGCGCAGCACTTTCGCGGCTTCTTCCTGAAAAAAACCTTTTTGGAATGATAGGAATTACTTCGCAATAAGTCACTGTCTAAGAAAGTCTCACTCATTACTACTTGCTGCAAATCCTCAGAATGGCCTTAACAACTACCCTCTTTCAGTAATGGTCTCATAGCAAAAGGGGGTCGTCTGTACTGTGGGATCGCTGTCGCCAGTGATCCACTTCTTTGAGAAAGAGTATCGCGATCAGGTACGTGATAGGTCTCATAAACCAGTGACTGTTCACTGTAATATTTCACGACACGGTCATGACTACGCCACATTTCACCATATCTATCAAACCATGGTTTCCCTACCATTTGTTACAAAAATCAAATCAATGGAAAAGTTGAATCAATACTCTCTGTTATGTCCAATTAATATGACTAGATAATGGAAGATTATAACCCAGAAAAGAAGGAGAAGCGCTCACAGACTATAAATCACCAGCTAACGATGTTCGGTAAAAAGAATCGCAAATCCTTCGCGAGTTGCTGGAGAAGTGTTGGATCTGCAAGGGTATTCTGACAGTAAGGAACATAATGTTCAAACATTTGAGCAAAGAGAACACAATGGATAAAGAAGAATGAGTAAAAACGAATACGACAGAACAAAGCGATCAACTCTACTTGAGAAAATACCCTGAGGCAAATTACGTTGGAAAAGGAAACTTCGAGAACAAGCTGGATAAGGGGCGCGTATCAAAAGGGCCGAATTTTCTGGCCTTCTGCCTGATTAGAAATCCAGCTTTGATCCCATTTCTCAGCTTAAGCAATAGCTAATTAAGTGTTTACCATGAAAACACTGGAAATAAGCCACTATGAATGGAATGGGCGTAGATTTGCGAGCCTTCCACGATGGAGATGATGTCGTCGGATTGCCTGGTCATCTGAAGTGCCTGATTCTGATCGTGGTCGACGACACACAAGGCGAATCCGACGACGCCAGCACGGTCGATACGCGAACAAGGGGCGCAATTTCACTGCGTACGCAAGCTAACGCCCAGCGTCGAATCGGCAGTCTGCACTAAAACCAAGTCCGACCGCCTTCCGTGCCGTTCGTTATGTTCCTTTCGACGGCCATTTTCGCCGTGCACGTCTGGGTGATGGTGTCCCTCGTTCGTCAAACGTAGTACTACTTGAGACCTACTTGAAAAACATTTAGGTCTGCTTCACCGCTCCTCCTTACTTTCTATGCAGATCCACGTTTCTAGCGAAGCCTGATCTTCTTCAAATTGATGTCTGAAGTCTGAGGTCCGTAGAGGAAGTTCGAGATCTTGGGTTTCTATATGACTACAAGTTGAACTTTAGCAAGCATTATAAGGCTCTAGTGGGAAAGGGCTTGCGGAGAATCTTCAATATTTTCAAAGCACTTAGAACTAAGGACACCAGCTTGCTGTTACGAACTTATAAACTTTACGTTCGCCCTATTTTGGAATGCGGGACAACAGTTTTCAATCCCCACCTGAAAAAGGACATAAAGGCTCTAGAAAGTGTACAGAACAGTTTTACTCGTAAGTTAATGCTCAGATGTTCGGGGCTTAGCTATTCCAGTATTCCTTCTGGCTCTGTTAGGAATTCCACCTACGGTCTCTCAAATCATTGGAATGGAGGAGGAAAAGATATGACTTACTTATGACCTTCAAAATTGTGAGGAACTTGGTTAAATTAAATGTTCATGACTTTTTCAGTGTGTTGCCAGCTAGTACAAGGGGAGCTTCGTTTAGATTGACTGTAACCACTGCTAAATCTAGATATCGGTCGAAGTTCTTTAGTAGTAGAGTGTGCTCCTATTTCAACTGTCTGTTACGTTCTAATATATTTCCTTCTAAGTATGCCACTTTCAAGAAACATGTTGGTGAGTATGTTTAAATGATCTTACATTATCAATGTTTTACCTATTTGCTGGGTTTCGTTATGTTTTTTTTCTTGTTGTTTACATGTTGTGTTGACATGTCCAATAAATAAATAATAAATCCTTCGTTTTCATTTTTGGACCTTCCTTATCTCTGAAGTTCGCCTGAATCTTTAATTACGCCGCAGCTGTTTGGACCAAGGCGTGTGTATCCAGAGTTCTCGACTTAAGAGAATCTCTCATCCGATTCGTGGGCGAACTCGCTTGTTCTCGTAGATGTCCTTGCTGCGTCTTAGCGACTGTCCACTTCGTGCGGCCTGCCCACAGTAATAATAACTAAAGGCGCTGTAACCCCTATAGGCCGCAGTTTTCGACGCCGTTCTTGGGTGTCCGCCCACAAACAAAGGTGCTTCTTAATCCTCTAAGCGCCGAGCGTTTCTTGGGGGACGCCGTTCAGTTCACAATAGCATTACTTCACAGTCTGCCGCGTCCAGCGTTTTCTCTAACGCGGTCGGTGTTTTCGGCGAAACGCTTCTTGCATATGGTTATCGACTTGCGGTTGGGCGAAGAGTCTCGGCGGTTGGGTGAAAGCGGTTTTGATACGAATCGACGGGCGTTTCGCCAAACCGCGACGTTTTTCGCCTTCGATGAAGCGCTAACTCGATCGCCGTTTTTCGCCAGCCAAATTCGATACACATCTATTGCTTTTCGCCCAGCCGCCGTTCGTCAGGGTCGCAGACGGAGTGAACTAATTGTGTTAAGTGCGAGTTGCGCATTTGGTGCAACTAGTTACGTCGCGAACGCGTGTTTTCCTAAATCCCGGCCAAGCCGTTTGGACTCCAGAAAATTCGGCACGGAGCTCATTTTTAATTGCCTTAAGCTCACCACAGTCCGCTGAAAAAACATTTGTTAGGGGTAGTTCAACATCCTGATTAAGAATATGACATTCACTCTTGTCGCTCGTCGCTAATGGATGACACTACGATTATCTCCGCTCTGCTAAGGCTGAGCACAGGAGGTAATCGTAGTGTCCTCTCTTGGCGACAGCGACAGAGAAGAATGTCACGTTTCGCTAATTAGGATGTTAAATAACCCTATATAGAGATTTTAGCGATTGGTGATTCTTAGGCAATTTAGAAATGAGCTCGGTGCCGAAACTTCTGGAGTCCAAACGGCATCAGCCCCTAAACCCCAATTCTGTATAATGCTGTTTTCCATTTCGAGCTTCACTGTTCCGTGTCTTCCGTGTTTTTTTTCCAATTGTGTGATGGCATCAGCATTGGATGACACGAAGAAACGGTTAGCTCGAACCAGAAGCGACAAGTATCATGTTGTGGCATGAAGCGGCAGGTCCGGAGCGGCCTACAGCTGAGGGGCTGCCCAGGATTACCTACTTACTGCTGTTCTCGCCAGAATTTTGGCTTTTTTCTCATGTTGTAGAGTCACTTAGCGGCTCATTAGGTTGTCAGGGATATTCAACTAGACATCGCGGGAACAACACTCAAGATCTGCTTCACGCTTCCTCCTTACTTTCTATGCAGATCCTTGTTTCTAAGCCGAAACCTGCATCTTCTTCAATTCGATGTCTGAAGTCCTGAGGTCCGTAGAGGAAGTTCGAGATCTTGGGTTTCTATATGACTACAAGTTGAACTTTAGCAAGCATTATAAGGCTCTAGTGGGAAAGGGCTTGCGGAGAATCTTCAATATTTTCAAAGCACTTAGAACTAAGGACACCAGCTTGCTGTTACGAACTTATAAACTTTACGTTCGCCCTATTTTGGAATGCGGGACAACAGTTTTCAATCCCCACCTGAAAAAGGACATAAAGGCTCTAGAAAGTGTACAGAACAGTTTTACTCGTAAGTTAATGCTCAGATGTTCGGGGCTTAGCTATTCCAGTATTCCTTCAGGCTCTGTTAGGAATTCCACCTACGGTCTCAAATCATTGGAATGGAGGAGGAAAAGATATGACTTACTTATGACCTTCAAAATTGTGAGGAACTTGGTTAAATTAAATGTTCATGACTTTTTCAGTGTGTTGCCAGCTAGTACAAGGGGAGCTTCGTTTAGATTGACTGTAACCACTGCTAAATCTAGATATCGGTCGAAGTTCTTTAGTAGTAGAGTGTGCTCCTATTTCAACTGTCTGTTACGTTCTAATATATTTCCTTCTAAGTATGCCACTTTCAAGAAACATGTTGGTGAGTATGTTTAAATGATCTTACATTATCAATGTTTTACCTATTTGCTGGGTTTCGTTATGTTTTTTTTCTTGTTGTTTACATGTTGTGTTGACATGTCCAATAAATAAATAATAAATCCTTCGTTTTCATTTTTGGACCTTCCTTATCTCTGAAGTTCGCCTGAATCTTTAATTACGCCGCAGCTGTTTGGACCAAGGCGTGTGTATCCAGAGTTCTCGACTTAAGAGAATCTCTCATCCGATTCGTGGGCGAACTCGCTTGTTCTCGTAGATGTCCTTGCTGCGTCTTAGCGACTGTCCACTTCGTGCGGCCTGCCCACAGTAATAATAACTAAAGGCGCTGTAACCCCTATAGGCCGCAGTTTTCGACGCCGTTCTTGGGTGTCCGCCCACAAACAAAGGTGCTTCTTAATCCTCTAAGCGCCGAGCGTTTCTTGGGGGACGCCGTTCAGTTCACAATAGCATTACTTCACAGTCTGCCGCGTCCACGTTTGCTCTAACGCGGCGGGTTTCGGCGAAACGCTTTTGCATATGTTATCGAACTTGCGGTTGGGCGAAGAGTCGGCGGTTGGGCTGAAAAGCGTTTTACTTATACGAATCGCGGCTTTTGCCAAAACCGCGACGTTTTTCGCCTTCGATGAAGCGCTAACTCGATCGCCGTTTTTCGCCAGCCGAAATCGATACACATCTATTGCTTTTCGCCCAACCGCCGTTTCGTCAGGGTCGCAGACTGTGAACAATGTATTATGTAGTTGCGCATTTGGTGCACACTAGTTCGTCGCGACGCGTGTTTCCTAAACCCGGCTAAGCCGTTTGGACTCCAGAAATTTCGGCACCGAGCTCATTTTTAAATTTGCCTAAGTCACCAAATCCGCTAAAAACTTGTATATAGGGGTAGTTCAACATCCCCCCTGATCGAAGAATATGAACATTCACTACTTGTGGCTTCTCGTACATGGGATGGACACTACGATTATCTCGCCTCTTGCTAAGGGCCTCGACACAGGAGCAATCGTAGTGTCCTCTCTTGGCTCAGCGCACAGAAGTGAATGTCACGTTCGTAATCAGGATGTTAAACTACCCCTATATACAAGATTTTAGCGGATTTGGTGTCTTAGGCAATTTAGAAATGAGCTCGGTGCCGAAACTTCTGGAGTCCAAACGGCATCAGCCCCTAAACCCCAATTCTGTATAATGCTGTTTTCCATTTCGAGCTTCACTGTTCCGTGTCTTCCGTTTTTTTCCAATTGTGCTGATGCAGCCCAGCATTGACATGACACGAAGAAAACGCGTTAGTCGAACCAGAAGCGCAGTATCATCGTTTGTGCCATGAAGCGAGCAGGTCCGGAGGGCTCCTACAGTGAGGCTGCCAGGGATTACTACTTACTGTGTTCTCCAGAATTTTTTGGCTTTTTTCTTCATTGTAGAGTCACTTAGCGGCTCATTAGGTTGTCAGGGATATTCAACTAGACATCGCGGGAACAACACTCAGATGAGCAGCATGCCTCTCCCTTTATCAGTGTTCTTATTTTTTCACATTGATATCATCAGCGTCAAAGAGAAAATTAAATGTGTGGCTGAAAAGTTTGGTGCATGTCAACGACAACCACTTTAAAATGACGCCAGCTGCTCCATCATTTTTTTGGTGCGTGCGATGTCCACTGTCTCTTTTCTTCCTGAAACCTCTTTCGCGTAATGTGGAGATTCGTGAACACAAATAGGCTAAGTGGGAGGGTAGAGGGGCATTTGAACAGCTCCTTGTGTGAAACTGGGTACCGTAATCGAGCTGAAGACTTCTGTCTGATCTTAGAAGCAAAGGGTTCTGGTTGAGTGAATCGATTTCTTATGGCAAAAAAGGACTTTGATTACGGTAGTCCTGACATGCAGTAAGGAGTCCTACAGTACAACTTGCAATAAGGAGTCCTTCAGCAGGTTACGTAGTGGTTCTGTCGCGACATTCTGTACTCCGACAGCTAGAGACACTGGATGCCATAGCATCGAGGGGCAGAAAAAAATTCGGCGGCGAAAAAGTGGAATGTTATTTTCCACGGGAGGGAAACTCCGGGATAGATGAGCCACGTATCATGCGCGAAAAGCCGAAATGTGTGACGGACCTGTATTATTCAGATCCTTCAGAAATCCAAAAATGGGAGGTGGATGTTGTTGGGCTCGGTCGCGCTGCGAAAATGGGCTCTCTCTCTCCGGCCGTTTTCCTCATCGCTATGACGTCCCGCTCCCCGATCGCTACCGCAGCGTCCTTTCGTTTAGTTGCTGTTCGCTATTTTTTTACTGGTAATTCAATTACAATCTTGAGCGAATCCAATTGTGTTAAAAAGGTTCACAACTCGAAATGTGCAATTGGAACTTGGAACGAGAAAAAGGTAACTTGTTTGTGTGGAACCGGGAGTGCTCTTTCCTAGAGTAAAAAAGGAGCGAGGAGCGATTCTGGTGTAACTTCAGGTAATGTGTCCCTTTCATTCCACTGTACTCATTGGTTGTGAGAAACTCATTTCTTTGATGAATTCAGACTTTTTTATATAGTTGCGATATTACTCAACGCAGTACGAATGCGGTGTGTATCACTTCATTCGTAGTGGCTAAATACGAACGGTTTGTTTTCAAAGGGGACTGCTGATAGAGCTGTTGACAACGTATGTTCAGCGACAAACACGGCGTCGAGAAGAATTCTCCCTGATTATACCCCCTCCCACTCATTTATCTCCCGCCAATACCTGTCGAGTGGACGGTTTATAGCACCTCTGAAAATGGTGGAATTACAGTTGAGAAGATCCTCTATTAGGTCAAATGCGAACATCCTCCCCCAGCCACCGAATACACCCCCCCCCTGATCGAGGGGTTCTTCGAAGTACTCTTTACTATGCATATGTTTGCTAATTATGGCGAATTTGGAGCGAAAAGTTCTCTGGGAGTTCCCCGATTACGATAGAATCGATGTACTTTTTTCCTATAATCGTCTGGTTCGTGCAGTGTAGCTGTCAGCGAAAGTTGGTTGCACTTTGCTGCACCGGTGTGGTAGGAAAGCAGCGCTAGTTCTCAGGAGTTCTCTGCGACGACTGCGACCAACTTTCAGCTTTACATGATGAGGAGTCACTGGACTTATGCTTGTGAATCATGTCATAATCATCATTTCGTGTATTTCCATCCGATATTATCACAGCTCCTAAAATTCGCGATGTTTTGCGTCAGTGAAGAGTAGGCGTTGCATTCATCGCCTTTGAGTCTGCTTAGTTCGAAGCGACTTGGGAAAGTACAGGTCTCAATCCAGCGAACGCCAGCGTCTGCCTGCGTACACCAATCGTCTCGAGGGACTATGGATATAGGTATCGATCTAGCGTCTACCAGCTACGGCGGCGTTTTCGCGAGCACTTTTGAAGTTGAGCAAAACTGCCGCAAAACGCCGCGCTGTACCTGCGTGAACTCATGCGTTTGCTAGATAGAATTATACCTTCCCAGCCAGCTTTCGAGACGATGGCGGACAATGGTAGACACCGGCGTTCTCTAGAGTGCCTCGAGACGCTGGCAGTGCTGGTGAACGCTGGCATTCGCTAGATCGATATTCATAATTTAACAGTCGCTGGTGGACGCTAGCGCAAAGTATGAACGCATCCTTTGTGGGAGAAGGGCTGCTGAAAGAAATGAGCAAGGTGACCGTTCTTGTATCTCTATAATCCATCGCAAATAGGAAGTTTTCATTAGGCCTACGTCTGGGCATCAAGCCTGAGAAGCAAGAAAAACATTACTAGACTAGCGATGTGAGTTGACTCTGGGAGTGGTGTGGTTATCGTCCTCTCGCGTGACCTCACTATGACTTTTCCTTTGCGTACGTGAGGTTCGAATCGATGAAATTGTCGCGTTTATTAAGAGCCACCAATTTGAGGGAAGGTGAGGGGCGAATATTGTGAAAGTGCAATTACAACAAGCATTTCGGCTGTCCCAGTATTGTACTATATATTCCGATGCAGCAGAATCCAGCTTTGCTATTCCAATACATCGGTACAATAGCTCGTTGAATCACGATTTTATCATCCACGTCACACATGGCGGGAGTTGCCCCCCTCCTAGGTCTCTGCACCAAAATGCCCCGGGAATCGGAATGACTGTCTGTTAGGAAATGCTTTTAGCTGGTATTCGTATGACCAGAACACATATGCCTTTCCTGTCCCCTTTTTGCACATCAGAAAGATTTTGCATGGACGCTCGCGCTTCTGGTGTTTTCCTTTCTTGATTGTTCATTTGTCTTGTGCTTCTGAGAGTATTTTGGATTTCATCTTTATCCAGCACTTTGATCGCAGCACAGCTGAAAAATTTCAATTTGAATGAACAGGTTGAAATTTCGAGTTGCTCCTTTCGGTGTCCTTAGCGCTCTCTCTAGGTCTCTTGCGGTTTCTGACATGCAATCGTACTGAATGCATTACAGATGCCAGTCCTCTCTTTCCACACCAACGTCAGTGCTGACAAGGTTACGCCGGATCTTCTGAAGCAGATCTCCTCACTTGTAGCCCGCATTCTACACAAACCCGAAAGTGTACGTGCGATTTTATCTCAGGAGAAGTGATAGTGGAAAAAAGAGGCTTGCTTGACCAGAACGATCACAGGAATTAAGATTTCTGTTTAGTTGTAGTGATGATAAATAATTTGGTTGATAAATAGTTCCTGTGCTCTACACTTGTATGCCAAAGCTTTAGAGTCTGATCCGTTCCTTTTCGGAAGCGATTGTGTTAAGAAATATCACTTGCATTATCACTTCTTATTTTCTATCGTTTTTCTCCATAGGATTAATTTATCTATGCCAAGTCAGCGTTTTTATTCGCAGTATGTTTGTGTGCATGTGGTGCCAGACCAGCACATGATTTTCGCCGGAACTGATGAACCGTGTGGAGTTGGTGTGCTAAAATCGATCGGAGGTGTTGGCGGAAGCAAGAACAACGAACATGCGAAGGCCTTGTTCGCACTCATCAAGGATCACCTCGGAATTGCTGGAAACAGGTGCGTTACATGATTTTATGGTGAACCACGATCACAGCCTGTTCATATGGAAATAAAATGATGGAAATAGATAGATTATCGGAGAAACCGAAGCGTAGAAGTTTTTATGGTGGCGAAAAAATGGAAACGTCAGCGATATCCGATATCGCGTACTTTATCTCGGCGTGTTGACGTTTGCCCTTTTGTTTACCAAACCGAAAACTCGGTGTTGTTCAACTGCTCCCTCACGATGGGCAATCGCTGTAGGAAAGTCCCACAAAGAAAGTAAAGTCAAAGGTCTGGGAGATGAGATGTTCGCTTATTTTTCTAGCAAGTGCACGTTCATCCCAAACTTTATGAGTTTCTCTACATGTATTTCTGATTAAAAACTTGAACAGTTTCCAATATTTTGTGGAAAAACTACTTTTTGGAACAGTGAGTAGGATCACTGGTGAGGTGTACTGCGCAAAAGATCACGTCGTCTTGGAGAGGAAGCTGGAAGATCCTTCTCGATGCTGACTTAGTGAATTGCTTCTTCATCAAAGAGTGAAGAGGACAATACTCTCACCGCAATAACGCCAGAGTATTGCGACCTGAGTCTGACCGGGTCTTACCAGTCTGGCCCCGCTCATGACGCCAAAATGGCAAAGGATAAAGTTTCCGCTATTGATTAAACCCTTTTTGGTGTGCGCTTCGCATTTTACTTTCATTTGAAGTCGTGGAGACTTTTTCCATTTCAAACAATAGCCGTGCAAACAACTTGTGGAAGTCACCTATTGTATGAGTCAGTCTTTTCCTCCCAGACCGGTCTGACACTAATCCACCACCCGTGAGGGATCAAAGGCTTCGTTGACAAAGCAGTAGCAGATTTGGTACTCGACCACCAGATCACGCATTCGTAGCGGTCATTTTGCATGCACACCTCCGCACGCTTCTCATTGACTGGATTACCGTGTAGAAATACGAAACAACGACTTTGCCGGTTTGACAAGAAAAAAATACCTGAAATGAAACGCACCCCAAATAGGTCGGAGCAGTTAGATTCATCGCTTAATATGTGCCACGACCTTATCTGGACCAGAAGATTTAGAGCCCCTATCTGTCCTTTTGTGCGATTTACTCAGGTTTTATGTGAACACATTGATAAAGGTGAAATGTGGAGCGTTTCAATTTTTACTTTATATCGGCGCAGTTTCTCGACGGGGAGGGGACTTACTTTCATAGATGTGTTCGCCCCATAGTGGCTAGAACGATCTTACTTAGCTTCACAAGGGGTTTCACAAGTTTCACCCAGAGTGAGAATTAAAATGTAACCGCAGAACCGAGGGAAAGCCATGATAATCAAAATGCCCGCAGCGCCCAAATTATACTCTTGATACATTTTACGTCTGTGTGTCAGTACCAGCGGCACCCGTTAGGCGCGGGGGGGAAGGGGTGGCACATCAGCTGTTTCCTTCCCTATTGTGAGCAAGCCACGTTTCAGTCATGTCCAATAGGGCGAAATTTTGTTCCCTTCTAGGCTGGAGCACCGCTATCTTTTCAAAAGTGAGCTTTGTTAAACCCGCACATCGCTTCGGCCTTTCTTTCGCCCCCAATGATGCAGCGACTTCATTGTATTGATGACATTCGACTAATGTTTAGAGTATAATTTCTTCTTTCAGGATGTATATCGAGTTCGTCGACCTTGGCGCTCAGGATATTGCCCACAATGGCAGAACTTTCGCTTGATTACTGCAATGTTTAGAATATCGTTACTGGTTTGCTGTCCCGGTTATTACTAGCTCTTCTTTTTCACTTTTTATTTACTAACTGCTATTTCGTTCATTTTGGCAAAAATGAAGTGTAGTGTTTCGTTGCGATTCGTTGCGAAGAATCGCGTGAGCACTGCATTTTCGAGATTAAAAAGGGAAGCAAATGACTGGAAAAGGAAAACACTTCAGTACAGATGGTTCGTCTCGCCCTTTCCTTAGAGGAACCATTGTTTTGTCAACCGCGGGGCTCGTCGTAAGTCTATTAGTCTAGTCGATCGGCAGTATTATCTGTGAACGTGCATAATGCACAGTTGTCCCACAAGAGTGGCGGGGGCTATCTGCGCATATCGGTCTTTTACGATCTCGGACAAGTATAATGCTAATCAAATAACCACAAAAAGGAAGAAGGCCTCGCTGACCCACGCATGGCCTGAACCGAAACAGGATATCTCGCCCATGAGGTTGCAGCTCTTTCCGCTTCTCTGAGCGTGTACAGTTACGAGGGACCGTACTGCACTAAGGTTATAACAAGGTAAGGGGTAAGGTAGGTGGATGGGACTGTTTGGAATAGGATATATATAGCGTCTGATTTGTCTTTAGTTGGTAACTACGAAGCGGTCCTTTCATACTGCGAGGGACCCTCACGACTTGCCTCAAATAAAAGACAGTGCGAATTAATACATTCGCATTGCAAACCTGAGGCCATTCATAAAACTGTCTGGCACATTAGAAGCAGTCTGGGCTATTAGGTATTAGTGTGCTCCCTGGAAAGGTGTTGGTTTACCCTCTGTAAGTTTGCCCAAAGGGCTGCAATACATATTATACATATACTTCCTATCCCTGGGACGGGGTAGGCGTGGCATTCGAACATGGCACAGAATTGGTTACTCGAGGGAACATTCAATTTGAGACAACAGCTATCTTATTCTTTGTTGAACAGAGACGTGACCACATTGGATTCAAAATGAAAATATCTTTCCAAAAGCATTGCCACCACGACGTTTAGTTGGAGTAAGCAGCCACGTCTACCCCATCTTAAAGATTTAGAGTGTAATTACTGTCTAAAGACTCATCAGTCCGTATACATCTCATTTAAAGGGGCCACAACCACCTACCATCCTTCGTGAGAGTTACTGGTTGGATTTTCTAGATCACCTCGTTAATTGCGTTTAATTGGAGTTCTGAACATTTCACGCACGTATTGTTCCACTACTGCACTCTACTTTTTCGTTTACGCAGTGGTTTCTTCTTCTTTCACAATATTGATGGATTACAGCAAACCGGATGACCTTCTGAACTAAAGTAAACATCAAGATAAATAACCCGATAATGAGTGCAGAAAGGCCGGTCCCACACGCTAGCGGTCTGACTGTGGCAGATGGGCTGGTTGAATAGACAAAACGCATTTTCATGAACGCAGGCGGGCTTGAACCTTCTCCGTTTTGTGGATGGAATCGCACGTTCTGGTTGCATAGAAGAATATGCACTCATACAAATCAAATCATTCGGACCTTCCGTTTCTCAAAGTGGGTATGTGACAAGAGGATCGTAATTTGCCGCGCTGCTGGGCGTCGCGTGCGACGTCCCGCCCGCAAAGGACGATGGTTTCAGGCAGTAGATGGCGACAACATGCAATTAAGGACCGAAAACAGTAATGAGTGTCTACGATGACGGGGTCTACATGAAGTCCGGTGCTTCATTCGACAGGTTAAAACGAGTTATGAAAACGCCGCGCCCATCGCCGCGCGTGGCCGTGCGGCGGAATAACGATCGCCCTTTGGGACCTTCGTTTCTCAAAAGTGAGTGGTCATTGGCTCTGTCCTTTATTTCTTTCCTGGACCTCTGAGACAAGTGTCTTTTGTCTCTCTCTACCAGGTGAGCAGGTGTGACAGTGAAAGTGTAGTACTCTTCCCATCGACAGTGCCCAGTAATGAGGTTTGTGATGGCATGAAGAGAGCGCTACCGCCGTCATAAGTTGCAGCTACACTCTAGTTCGCTGCGGACGGTTGGGCGTGTCAGGCAGTATGAGTGTGTCACCCCGTCAAAGCCGTTCTCTGCCTTCTTGTTGAAGCGCGCATGCGACAAAAAGTGGTAGAAAACGAGTAATACGAACGATATGATACAGTCATATCATTTGCTCGCTTAACAACTGGTGGAGAACGGGTTTGGCACCGCGCCAAACTCATCCCGCCTGACACGCCCAACCGTCCGCAGCGAATTACACTATATATGGTACGGTTTCCCATCCTACTATATATAAACGGCAACGTTCTGTCTGTCTGTCTGTCTGTCCGGAAATTCGGAATCACCTGAAGAGCCAGTTGGAGGGGGCGGGTCAAGGGTGGGTTGGGTAGGGCATGGGCCATGGAACACACATGAACCAAGCTAAGCCCCGTCCACTGTAGGTGGGCTGATTATTTCAAAATTTCGTAATTCGGTTCTAGAAGATCCCGGAGAGCGGAAATTGTGGGAAACGATAGGCAAACAGTTGGCGGACGGAAATGAATGAAGCACACCCGTGATGGGCGGGGCGTTCGCCGAAGTGAACGGTGCCGAGGACAAAAACCCTCAAAACGCATCCGAAAAACCCAGGAAATGGGGAGTAAGGTGAAACTGAGCAATGGTTTGGCAGATGAAGTTAGCAAGGGGTAGGGAGTATACCGAATGGTTGGTGCCGTCGGCAATAGTTTATTCTGCACACGACTGGCCCTCGTGTGAAAACTGTAGGGCACTACCCACTTCACACGCGGAAGGAGGATCGCTCGACGAAGCCGGCCGATCCGACTGGTACGTTATACCGTATACAACTGTAACTTATGATGCCCGCAGCAACCTCGTCACTCATTGTGTACTCGACGTCTGACAGTATTTTAGATTAAGCACCAGCCATTTGAGCAAGAAATCCTACGAACTGGTTGAGCGCGGAATGTGTCTATTTCTCATGTGTTTGGTTACTATTTGATGCGCATGCCACAGTCACGTCATACGGTCGGTTAGGCAGGCCTGGCTGTAGCCATACTGTGCCTGACTAGAGCCACACGGCTGGCTATCGTAACTGGGACCGTGTTTGAGACGTGAAGAACAGAGCTGGCCGCTTCAGAAAGGGACAACTCACAAATGCTTATATGGTGCTTTTTCAGAAGCGACAGCCTATTTTTTTCACGCTATGATCGGATGATGTGAGATGCTCGGGTAAACTGGGTATTCACATGACGACTTGAAAACCTTTTTTCCATTCATTGTGATATCCTTCAGGAGGAAGGACTGGATTCATGAGCTTATTAGTTTTGATGTGGTATACTAGCCGAGTGCCTGTGCTCAGTCAAAATACTTGAATGCCTTTTCTCATTAGTTGTTTTCAGCTTGCGTGGAAAACGAAAATTGTTTTTTTTCCAAAATTGAAGTTGAAATTTCAGCCGTCACCTTATATGTGAGTGGTAAGGTGCAGGCTGCGGCACTAGCAGAAATGACGAGTTGGGTCACAAGAAACAATTTTATCAACCCACTTCGTTCCCCGTCCGTTATTCTTTGTTAGCTGAATAGCGTCAAGTCAACTGAATGGTTGCAATGTGCGCTCTATGTCGTTCATTTCATGGCCCGTCTTAAAAAATAGCTGGAGAAATGGTAACTTTCTTCCTTAGGTCTATGGTTTTGGGGAACACGGCCGCGTCGGTTACTGAAGGTTCTGATTATAGCAACAAGGGGATATAGGACGTAGGCTGCCGCGACAGAGTTTGTTTGCCGCGTTTAGTCAACTAGCTAGGAGTGATTCGGAGCCGCATCTTTGACATTCTGAATTATACCCCTGAGCGGAAATCGCAGGTGTGTGCGGTCAGTGTCGTAATTGCGATTATTCGTTTCCATTGCGTTTTCAACTTTGAAACGCTGCTCCCATTCCAGTACTGCAGATCTACACGACGGCGAGGTGGCGTCGGCTTCAGAAATTATTGTCATATCCATGGTGATGGTGCGCAACGAAATAATCGGTGAAGACGAAAATTCAACGGCCTGAGATTGTGCTGGAAAAACAGCGCTGAAGAAATTACCGTTCCATGTCAACCAGCACCGACCTCCACAACAACTACGACATTACTGCAACATTACACAGTCGTTGATTCACACGTCAGTTTTTGTGGACCACCTATGAGTTACACTCTAGATAAATTGTAAAATATGATCTGGCAATGCTTTTGGCGCCGAAGCAGCAATTTTTACACCGGTTCACAGTAGAATGCGGAACGAAACGTGCACGCATCAGATCGAGGTGTGACGGAAAGTACGCGTGAAAAAACTGTTTGGCAGCCCTAACTGCTTTTAAAATTTGCAATGTTACTGGGGGTGTATCTCAATAGATCCCAGCTGCAGTAAAAGCGGAGAAAGATGCGTCGCAAGAGGGGTCACGTGCTCGTCATATACACCAATTGGGGAGACGGGCAAGAGGATCGTGATTTGCCGCTCGCCGCGCGCGGCGATGGGCGCGGCAGTTTCTTAACTCGTGTTAACCTGTCGATTGGAGCACCGGACTTCAGACCCCGTCATCGTAGACATTCATGACTATTTTAGGTTCTGAATTGCTTGCTGTCGCCATTCTCTACCTGGAACCATCGTCATTTGCGAGCGCGACGTCGCACCCGACGCCCGCAGAGAATTACGATTCTCTTGTCACATACCCCACCAATTGGTTCAGCTTGGCAATGCAATGTTGCGAGTCAACTAACTAGAAGGCACTATGCTATCTTGCAAGCGTCGCCGCACTCGGATGTCCGGAACTATACCACCTTCCACGTAGACATTCATGACAAATCAACTATGGGGTGAAGTGCTGGTAACAGAACTAAGGGTCCTGTTCACGGAGGTATGCGTCACTAAGTTATGATGGACACCTTGGATATGTGACAAGACAATCGTGATCGGTTGCGATGGTAAGCGTCGCATGCGACGCCTACCGAAACGATGATGGTTCTAGGTCGCAAATGG